CACATTACTGCGAATAGAAAGGAAGTGAGTTTTTCTGCAGTGGCTGTTTCCACTCAGTGTATGTGAAATCCTAAAGGGTTTATAAAAGCATAACATGTTCAAACAAATGTAGAAACAAATGAAAGACTTCCAGATAAACACAAGATGCAAATGAATTTGATAGAAGATTAAATTATAATAATCACACTCAGCCACCCATACCCATTCTCACAAATACACACTCACAAACACACACACACTGTCACATACCCTATGATTTCATTTTCTGCATCAGGGGTTTTCAAATCTATTTAACCTCTCTAACATGCCATTTTATGCAATTTTTTGTTATCATACTAAACCTACATGTGTGTATTGTCATTTGGATTTCTTTAATCCAATTTAATTGTTTTTTTCCTTATCTTATTTATTTGTGTTTTATTTTGTTATTCTGTTTTGTGTTCAGGAGTGATTTTTTTGTCCCATCACTGAATGTTTTTCAGTGTTTCTTATCACTTCCATGTTATAATACTGTTCCAGTTGAGAGATGGTCTCTTGCTTATGATATTAAGTAGATTTATTGTAATCAGGGCAAGTATTTATTTTAATCTTTAACGAGTTTGTTGCATCCATCCTAAAAAGTTTTTGAAGCACTTGACTTTGAGCACATATTGTCATGCTTACAAATTCATATTTGGTTCATAATTCATTCACATTCAAGTTAATACCCATAAACATGCTGACATTTTTTTGTGCCATTTCATGCAACAAGGACAGGATTTTCAGTGGGAGAAAGTCAAACAATGCATTTAGTCCTTGCCGTGTCTTGCCAACAATGCTTTCGGATATGCAATAGTTTGTATATGGGCAGTCATTCAGCTTGGGTCTTTATTACTTTCTTTCTTTCTGAATGTATCTATAAATTGACAGTGTGAAAGGGGTTGCTTATTGTGATGAATACAGATAATTATTTTAGCTCTGTTCAGTTTTATGGAGCTTTATAGCGAGTTTTGGCTCACTGTTTAGCTGTTCGGCCTGAAACCTGAGTGTTTTCCTCACTGCTCTTATTATTTGTGGCAGCAACAGGTGGCTGTTTTTAGCGTAAAAGCTCTAAAAACCCACAATACCAGCTCAGCACCAAACGGCAGATGGACTGAGTTAGCAACTACATATAGTGGAGCAATTAACAGCTGAAGAGCCAGCGAATGTTGCTCCGTAACTGCTGGATGTGTAAACAAGCAACAGTTTTTTTCTAAAAAGTTCCCCACACCTACTTAGAAGGTGATGATATGTCAATGTTGTGTTGACAGCTTGTTTCCATTCACATGCGGGCGGCAGTAGCTCAGTGTGTAGGGGCTTGACTTGGGAACTGGAGGATTGCTGGTTCAAGTCCCACAGACCACAAAATATGAGTGTAGACTGGTAGCTGGAGAGGTGCCTAACCCCAAAACCTGCTCATGAGGCGCCGCAAACGTGAAGTCCCGTCACTCCACCATCTCTCCCCTTTGCATGTCCATAAGTGTGTGAAGTGTGTATTTCAGCCTGTGTGTGCATGTATATAAAAGAGTGAAAAAGAACAATTTCCCCCTAGGGGATGAATCAAGTATAAAAAAGAAAAAAAAAAACATGTCACTCAGTTTGTGACATGTGAAAAAAAAATGTAATTGCATATTTGAATGTATTTTAATAGAACATGGCTCAATTTCTGAGACTAGTCAAGGTTTTTGTCCCCTGAATCGAGTCCTTTAATATTGGGTACCTGCCAATACCGCGTCTGATCCTATATTTACCTGAATGTTGATAAAATATGTATCATCATGAAAAAATAGGAGATGTAGCCCTCTAAATTTAGCACACCTCATTTTTTATGAGCTTCTTGATCCAGATTCTCTGATGGGGCCCTGATTCAAAATTATGAAGCTGATTAACTTGAATTTTTGATATGATATGAATAAAAGTTTAATTGGGAGAATGAGAGTCCTGACTCAGGAGTCTCCTAAAATGGACATGAAACAATCCTTGAGAGAGAAGATGTATCACACTATTGGAGTTGTTGGGACAACAAAAACACTCCACTCGAGGCTTTACAGTGGTGTTACAGAGCGATGCTTCTTTTTACCTCCTAAATTTTTTTTGGCTGAGTAGACATGGGCTTGCAGAGAGCACAAAACCCACAAACAGCTAGGTTTCTTTTTGACATCAAGTGTACTCATGGAATTAACATTAATTAGCAATAGCTGACCTGCCGCCAGCAACGTTTTACATTTTAACCAGCAAAAGGGGCGGCAGCTTTCAGATTTAGTTATTATTATTATTATTATTATTATTATTATTAAAGAACTGTGACCATAGTATCTCCTGACTGGGTCATTTTGCAGTTAAAAATATAAGCTTTTCATTTCTCTCTCAAGGCAAATTGAGCACCCTGTTTCAAATTAACTAAAAAATATCTTTCTCTTTATGTACTGACACATACATGCGTGCCATGGGCTAATACCGGCCCACCAGTTGAATATGCTCTAATAGCATAGCTTGCTGACCAATGGCTGAAGCACCTTGGTATAAGCACAGTATAAGCATTGCTGAAATACTCCACATTGTTCAGTTTGAAGGACTAAAATAGCTACAGGCTTTTATTGTTCCATCTCATTAGTGCATTTATAGGAACAATACAAATTCCTTTGTGTAGAAAGGGCAACCGTAAACTGACCAGTAAGGCTAATGTAATTAAGTAGGTGAGCCTATAGCAGATAACCAATGACTGACACTGAGATATATGAGCCACTTGGTATTCAAAAAGAACAGTTTGAATCCTTATATTTAATTGAACATGAGTTTAAATGTTTAAATGGTATCAGCTGTTCTCAGCAGCAGATTTTTCTGAGGAATCAAAGTATTGAAGGGGATCCTGAACATTGAAAACTAATTTTCTTTACCTTACTTTGTAAGGCATAAAGATCCGAGATTTTTCCATGCGTGAGCAGACCCACATCAATACTGAATGTGAATGTGAAGCCTTGTGAAGCTTTATATTAGGTAGGCTAGTACATGTTAGTGCTCAGTGGTAAGCACATGAAGCAGAGTCAGTGAAGATCTAATCAACCCGACAATGGTTAGGCAGGACTTGGTGAGCAATTTTCTTCAAAGCCGTCCTTGACTATGCAATCATTTTGCTATAGAAAAGTGGATTGGAAGCAGTATTGTTGCTTCTCTATTACAGGGGCAGACTCTATAGGGTTGAGTAGGTTCATCCTTATAAGCTGAGTACATAAATTCCGAGCACAAATTCAGAAATGAGTGGCTGGAGCCTCTTTAAAGAGAAATGTCATTGTAAAATAGAATATTATATATATAGTATTATATGCTGGTTTAAACATTTATCAAGAGTAAATTATTTTCTTTTTACATCCTCGATATAAAGTGATGAGTCATAAAGTTGAAAAAAAAAAAAATTGTGTTTAAGTGTTCATGTTAGTGGTTTTAAATTTAGCCACAGGAGATAGAAGCTGGACATGACAGTTGAATGCTGTGGTCAAAAGGTGATGTGCACTTTAAAAAGGAAATTTCTTGGAGAACGGTAGCACACACACTGAAACACAGAAAAGACTAAATGAATTTTTCAGTACAGACTGGGGTGTTTAATCTTCTTGACAGGGAAAAGTGAAAACCAGTGGAACAGTCACTCTTCAATCGTTACTTCATTCCATCATCTCCAGACATTGCTTTGTAATAGATTCTCCAAAGCTTTTAAGATAAAACGAGTTGCTTTGAAAAACGTGTATAGTTATCATGAAGTCATGGATCATGGGAGGCTGCTTTTTTGCAGGAGAGGCTGAACACTTGCCTTCTTCAACTAATCAGGAATGCCATCAGTGGAGAGTGCACCATTCACAATAGAGAGCAAGCAAGAGCCCACAGCCCCTACAACCTCTTTGAGGAATTTAGTGTGAATAATATCTAAGGGAATTTGGGTGGGTTGGAAGATAACCACAAAGAGCGGGTTCAGCAGTGATAATTTTACGCATGAGCACCTTAAGGCCAGAACATTCACCAACAGAAATAGATTTACTGTGCTACACTGTGCTTTACAGTTTCAAAGAAATCACTGTGGTCTAAGACACTGCAAGAAAGAGAGGTGTAATTTAGAGTTCTAATTTGGGAATGAGAGTTGGGAATAAACTAATCAAAAGTTCATAAATTGACTGAGAACTAAACTGTAAGTACTACTATAGATATTACTCCTATAGAATAGTACATATCTCTACAGTATGTCAGAGTACATAATTCTATGATAAAATAACATATTTATTTTCTTTTAAGTCTAATTCAAAGCCATATGCCTATATTAATGGCAGAGCCCGCTGTGTCTTTGTTGTCCCTGAAGTCAGACTCCTGGTCGGAACTTTAAACCAAATCCATGATCAGCCATCCAGAATATTACACGTACCCGTATGCAAATTATTTCCCAAATCTCCTGTATCATGACATGCTTTTGAATGATATATACTCCAACTTATTTGCATTTAAGGACGTATCTGGAATTACAATTTCCGTGAGCTGTGTGTTGAGGACATGAATGTAGAGATGCTTCAATGCTTTAAGCTTGATTGTGGTGTGGTAACTGCTCATCCTTAGACATTGCCTATTTACTGTGTAAGTACAATAAGAAGAGAGTAGAACATTTCAATAATGAGGTGATTAGCCTAATGTTTTGAATTGCTGTGTTCATTTAATTTTGATGGTGGTAAAAAAATGAATGTGCTTTGTTCTGTCTGGGCGATAAAAGCCAAATAATCAGGTGAAATTGCATTGTGACAATATTAGTTGTTAAACGGTTTTGTTTTACATGGGTAAAAATATTTTTCTGATGTAATGCTTAACAGCTGAACACAGTTCATTGCATGTATTTGTAACCCACATGTAGTTAACAGAATACTCAAATACATTTAGGACCAGTGTCTAGGTTCTTAGGAGGAGTTGAAAGAGTATGAAAGACACAATAAGCAACTGGAGCCACAGGGTACTTTAACATCAAATGTGAATGTATTGAAAGTTGTATAATGAAAAATAACAAAGGTCCTTTCTTAACCAGGACTCTGGAACAAAAATAGTTTCACAGTGTTGAAATTAACATAAACCACCTTAGAAATATAATACCCAACACAGTTCAACTCCACAAGGAAATGTCTTTGGTATGAATAGAGTTCAAGATTAATAAAGTCCAGGATTCCTTTGATCCACTCAAGTTCCAGTTTAGTTAGTTGTCGTCCGTTCAGCTAGCTTAAGTCAGAGGGTCAGTTTCAGTTCAAAACGTTTTAGTTCTGTCAGAAGTCATATGGTAAGGTGTGAAGTTGTCACAGTCCTACCACTCAAATGATGGAGAATGAAGGCCGGGATGGTCTTCTCCTCTGGGGAAAGATGGTTCCAACTCCTTGGGATAAGTAAGGGGATCTGGTTCAGTACTGGCTCGCCATCTCCTTCGTCAAGGAGAATCCAAAATCCAAATCTAAGGGTATCTCCAGGGAATCTCAAAAACCTAGCCTGTATGAGAATAAGGCTATTACTACATTGAGTCAATGACATCCCACTTCACCATGACAACGGTATATGAAATCACATCAAAATACTACTGCACACAATAGTAATTAAATTAATGAAATATTTTTAACTGTACAGCATTTCTCCTATGGAGTACTTTATCATCCTCACACCATTCATGAACTATTTGTAGCTTTTTTAACCATGAATTATGATTATTTAATGTTTTAACCATCAAGTTAACATAGGACTTCTTTTCCTTTTTTTTTTTAAATGATAACATGCATATTTATGTATATAACAACTCTCTTTAAATTATGAAATAACCACATTAGGTATTTTACACACCTTATATTTTCTTATAAAAGGTTATAGCTTAAATGCACATATCCAGTTTTCCATATCCAACATTACCTATTATTATTAGCACTAGCAGTGAATAACTTAGCAGCCAGGCTTCCAGTGTAAACAGTTAAGTACAAAAGTAATCTTATACACCAAAGTAAAAGACTGCTATAACTCATAATTTTAATATTTCCTAACAGAGATATACTGCTTTAACTCTCAAAATCAATACATATACAATGTAAAGTTAACATATAAGCAATAAGAAAAGGAAAAACACGCTGCGGTGCCACGTGTTGGCCGACAGCACTGGCTACTATTGTTAGCCACATTAGCAAAACTCAAAACTTAACTCACCAAGACTCTGCCAAAAGCATTCAACTCCTGGCACACAGATCATATAATCACCTCTTCCACTTCTCCTATGTGTCATCTCAAGGTTGCTTTAATTTAATTTATCCACGCTCTTTTTTTTTTCAGCTTAACTAGTTTATAACTACTTGTCTGCTTGTGTTGTCGCTTTGACTGCGCTGCCGAACTTCAACCTGGAGGGGTGGGACTTAATTCCCTTCTCCAATCAGATGTCTGTATTGACTAATACAGCCAGTAAGAATCAAGGCCAAGCAAACTTACTTTGATTGACACATTTTCTAGCGAACAGAAAGTAAGAATGAAAATAAAACCAAACTTATAGTGTTATAAGTTTTATCTATCTATTTATCTACTGGGTTACATCCTCCCCTTTTAAATATCATGCACGTCCCGGTGCATGTTGACTCTACCCTAAAATAGGTGTTGTGATTTCATAAGCTTGACTCTGTGACCACCAATCCCTATCATCAGCATTCAGAGAGTCACTAAAAGCTGTACTTAACCCTTGGAAAAGTGACTTAACTACTGTGACTAAAGGATTTCCTAGTTCAGGATAGTGAAATCTTCGTGATGGCTGACGATTCCTCTCTGATCTTCTGACGGGTTGAGGAATTTCTGAGTCATTTTTTTGTACTTTTGTCTCCAAGTGCTCTTTTAGCTGGTTTCTTATTTCTATTCCAACAGCTTCTTGGTCCCTAGTCTGTTCAGAGCTTCCTTCCTGTAAGTCTGGTAGATCTGCTGGAATATCTGGCATGGATGGAGGCAAGTCTGAGTAACTGTCTTTTGACTTAAAGTCAGAGTTGCCACTGGAAAGAGGCTCGGACTCCTCATCTGTTGTGTTTCCATACTCCGAATCCGGTAAGTATGAATCTGTCGCCTTTTCCTTTTCAGGTACACACAAGTGTTGGCTGGACTCCTTCGGTGTCTCCCTGATTGGTGTACCTGGTGAGTGAAGAGTTCCAGTAGGTATTTCAGATAGGTGACTTCCAGAAGCTAAGGCTTCCTGTTGGCCCAATGGTCCTGCAAATTGGTTCATGCAAGGCTCTCTTTCAGACTTCTTAGGTTCCTCTTTGTCTTTGTCTGAGGTCGGTATTGTTGTGTCATAGACTTTGATAAAATGTACCTCTCTTGTCCCTTGTGATGGTTCAAACTGATAACAGATTTCCTCATCCTCCTCTTGAACCCAGTTGTGATCCTCTGGTTGGACTGTACTTTGTCGGGTTTGTGGTCTCTTAGGTTTACTGCCATGCTCTGGCCTCTCTTCTTCTGTCTGAGAAAGAAAACCACAAGGGAGCAAGAGGTCTCTGTGAAGCGTTCTCAATGGTCCATCTCCTTTCTCTGGTTTCAGTGAGTATACAGGCAACTCTCCCATTTTCTTGGTGATTACATATATTGTTTGCTCCCATTTGTCTGCCAGTTTGTGTTTGGTCCTGAGACGAAGATTGCGGACTAAGACTCTGTCCCCAACATCCAATGTGGACTCACGGATGACTTTGTCAAACCTCTTCTTGTTTTTTTCAGCCATTTTGCGAGAGTTTGTGATGGCTACTAGGTAGCTTTCCTCAAGATGGCTTTTCAACTTTTTCACATACTGTGAATGTGACTGGGGTGATTTGTTGGTGACTGGTAGTCCAAAGGCAATATCTATGGGCAGCCGGGGTTGTCTCCCAAACATTAATTCATATGGAGAGAAGCCTGTGACATCATTTTTTGTACAGTTGTAAGCATGAGTGAGGGGCTTTACATACTCACACCAATGGGATTTCTCTTTGTCTTTTAATGTACCCAACATACTGAGTAAGGTTCGATTGTAGCGTTCGACTGGGTTTCCTCTGGGGTGATATGGACTGGTTCTAACCTTCCGTATACCTAACAAAGAACACAGTTCTCGGATGGTATGTGACTCGAAATCTCTCCCTTGGTCACTGTGGAGTCGCTCAGGAAAACCGTAATGGACTAAGAAATGTTCCCAAAGGCACTTGGCCACAGTACTGGCCTTTTGGTCTCTTGTAGGCATGGCCACGGCGTACTTGGTAAAGTGATCAGTGATCACTAGAATGTCTTTTGTGTTTTTGCTATCCGGCTCTAGCGAGAGGAAGTCCATGCAGACTAACTCCATGGGTCTGGTAGTCTGAATGTTTACAAGTGGGGCTGCTTTATCAGGCGGGGCTTTTCTGCGGACACACCTTTCACAAGTCTTCACTTTCCTTTCAACATCTGCAGCCATCTTAGGCCAATAGAAGCGAGATCTGACAAGTTCAAGTGTGCGCTCAATCCCGAGATGGCCCATATCATCATGAAGGTTCTGAAGCACTGTGGGTCTGAGAACATCTGGGAGAAGCAACTGCATCACAGTTTCTGTTCCTGATAGGCGCTTCCGATAGAGAAGATCATTTTGGATTTCAAGACGTTTCCATTCCTTTAAAACCAAGTAGAGATCATGGGAATCAGCTTTGAAGTTTGTAGGTAAGTTGTTTCCTGCCTCTAACAAGCTCATTGCTTTGCCAATGACAGGATCATCTCTTTGCATCTGCACAAGATCAGGGTGACTGTACTTGGGTATGGTCAGAAGACCATTATTGGAATCTTCCTCCTCAAAGACAGTGGGAATGGCAGCTGGGGACATGGCAAGAGACTGTACCAGCCCAAACGAGTGATCATTTTGTGTTAGAGCCATATGCCTCTGACAAGTAGCAGTGACTGTTTTTGCATGGAGGAGTTGAGGATCAGCTTCATTTACAGAGGACAATATATGAGATTTAAACTGTTCAATGCGCTGGCATTCCTCTTGAGAAACAACATCTTCCTCCAGCTCTCCATGAGGCCTCCGAGATAAGCCATCAGCGTCAAGATTCTGTTTGCCAGCTCTGTATTTGATGTCGAAGGTGTACGTGGACAGTGCTGCCAGCCAGCGGTAACTAGCAGCATCAAGCTTTGCTGTGGTGAGGAGGTACGTTAAGGGATTATTATCTGTGACAACAGTAAAGGTGTTGCCGTACAGATAGTCATGGAATTTGTCGGTTATGGCCCATTTTAGAGCCAAGAATTCTAGTTTATGAGCAGGATATCTGGATTCACTACGGGATAAACCTCGACTGGCATAGGCAATTACACGTGTGTGTCCATTCTGTTCCTGGTAGAGTGCGGCTCCCACTCCAGTGGTGCTCGCATCTGTATGAAGGAAGTATGGCAACTTCGGATCAGCATAGCCAAGCACAGGTGAAGAGGTGAGTGTTTCAATTATGCCTTCGAAGGCTTGCTGACATGCATCAGTCCAGCGTTCACCAAAATGTTCTTTGGGGTTTAGATACTTGCAATCATCCAGACTGGGTTTAAAACCTTTACGTTTAGGAGGGTAACCGGCGGTGAGAGAGGTAAGCGGTTTGACTATCTTTGAGTAGTCTTTAACGAACCTACGGTAGTAACCAGTAAATCCCAGGAATGACTGAAGTTCTTTCAGGGTCTGTGGTCTTGGCCAGGTTTTTAATGTTTCGACCTTCTCAGGATCAGTTTTTACTCCATCCCTGGATACAATGTGTCCAAGATAGCGGACAGAGGTTTGAAAAAAACTTACATTTTTCGGGTGAGAGCTTGAGTCCGTATTCTCTCAGGCGTTCAAGGACATGACTGAGTCTGGTTTCATGCTCTTCAAGTGTACTGGAGAACACGATCAAATCATCCAGGAAGACGAGCACTTCTTTCAAATTGATGTCTTTCATGCATTTTTCCATGAGCCTTTGAAAAGTGCTCGGGGCATTCGTGATTCCCTGGGGCATACGATTGAACTGATAGAACCCAAAGGGGCACACAAAAGCTGTCTTTGGTTTATCTGCTTCATTCATCTCGATTTGATAATACCCTGACTTGAGGTCCATCACAGAGAACCACTGTGATCCCGCCAGGGCTGAAAAGGACTCCTCCAGATTTGGCAATGCATAGGCATCACGGATGGTCTGCAGATTTAGTTTCCGATAATCCACACATAGTCTCACATCACCATTCTTTTTCCGCACCACCACAATTGGCGATGAAAATGGGGACTCGGATTCACTGATGATGCCTGCGTCTAGAAGAGCTTGAAGATGCTTTTTGACTGCTTCAAAATCATGAGGGTGAATGGGCCGGGATCTCTGTTTGAATGGAGTCTCATCTTTAAGCTTGATGTGATGTTGAATCTTGTTTGCGTGACCAAAGTCGAGGTCATGGTGGGAGAAGACATCAGAGAAAGAGTTTAACTTTTGAGTGATTCTTTGTTTCCACTCTTCAGAGAGAGGTGAAATGCCAAAGTCAAAACTCAGGGTAGATTTTGTATCTGTTGTCTGCTGCTGAGCAGAACAGTTAGCAGAAATTTTTGGGCCACTTTTCTCGTCTGGCATAGGATTTGGAATGACACAATCAGGAACAACTAGCTCTGCTATTACGCAGTTTGTGGGCAGTGTGATGTCATGATTTGTCTCATTTCTGAGTAGTACAGGAACTTTGTAGGGACCCTTCTTTGGCAAAGTGATAAGGCAGCAATCTACAAAGACACCACCAGGTAAAGAGGAGCTAGTTGGTTGCTCAATTAGTGCCCATTGTTCAGATTTTGCTTGGTTGGCACACACAAAACCATCAAGCAGCACCTTCTGATTTGCTGGAAGGACTTCCTGGGTCCGTCCTTTGAGTTTCACCAGGCCTATTTTCCCACTCTCTGTTTGTTTTCTCCTGACTTCAAGTGTTTTTAAAACCTGTTGATAGCCATAAGGAAGGGACTTCCAACGAGACATGGGCTCCTCACCATGCTGCTCATATAAGGGGTCAAGAGTGTTTGTGCCAATAAGCAGTGGAATATCGCTATTTGAACGAAGATCAGGCACAATTAGTGCCAAGGTGGCAATTTCAGGTTCAGTCTCCAGGAAGTCTTTGGAAAACCTAATGTTGGTTTCCACGTATCCTAGATATGGGACATTCTGGCCATTTGCTCCCTCGACTTCAAGGAGGTCAGAGATGGGCTTAATGAGGTGTTCAGATAAGTGATCTTGATAGAAGGCCATGGCTATGGTTGTGACTTGTGAGCCTGTATCCAGGAGACAGTTGCAGTCCACTCCATCGACAGCTACTCTGGTTGTACATTTTTTTCCCACAAGTCGGCTAGGCAGTTTTCTGTTACCGTTAGCAGCAGTATGTAAGCTTAAGGCCTTCTCAGTATTTGCAAAGGCGGGACGTGATCCATTGTTAGCTTCTGTTTGTCCCTCAACAGAAGCTTGAACTAGTTTAAATCAGATAAGTCAGGTGTGTTGGAGATTTCCCACACCCGCTGCTTTTCTCTGAGCGCTCTCCTTTTTGCCTCTACCAACGCAGGATTTGGGTCGTTATTGCAGCTAGAAGCAATGTGAGCATCTTCACCGCATCTGAAGCAATACCAAGGCTTGGGTTTATGCAATGTTGCTGTAATTTGTTTCATTTCTTTCCTTTCTGGTTTAATCTCTTTCATTGCTGATTCATTTTGTGTCTTTTGCAGTTGTTTTTTGGTTTCTTTTGATGCCTTTTTTACAGGTTTCTCAGTGGTGCAGGTTTTGAGTTGTGCTATTTGAGCACGAAGATCTGCAATCTCCTTCTTGAGGTCATTATGGGCAGCATAAGAAACACTATCGGGATCTGAGGTAGTATCAAAACTGTCCATGCTTGACATTAATGTGGTCTGCACGTGTGAAAGAGCTCTGGTTTTAGTGATCCCTAGATGTTGTTTCATTCTCGTTGCTTTGCTTGCCTGCTTATTCTCTTCAGTACGGAGTAGAAGAAGAAACTCAGCAAAAGATGGGGGATCAGTTTTACGTTGTTCAAGCTGGAGACTCAATAGCAATGGGCTATCCCAGCAGCCACGACAGAACTGTCTGAGAAGTTGTTTGTCAGCATCACTAGGAACAATCCCTTCTCTGCTTATGACCGAACTCAAGGTGGTGTGTAGCCTTTGCAAGTAATCAGAAGCTTTCTCACCAACATTCTGGTTGGTGTTCAAGAAGCGAGCAAAGAGCTCATCACCATCTTCCACTGTTGCATAGGCTGAGTCAAGCAGTTTAAGATAAGCCTTAGGGGTGGCTTTTGGACCTAGTGATTTCACAATGTGTGCTGCTGGGGGTGAGAGGCTCTCAACAATCTTCCTCACAACCTGGGTATCTGAAATCACAGGATCATTCAAGCAAAATTCCACACTGCTACGCCAAGCATCATAATCAACTTCAAAAGCCGGGTGGGGAACTCTCCCTGAGAAAGGTTTCAGCTTGTAGGACAAGTTGGAATGAGGAGCCATCTCATTGCTTCTAACGATGTGCTCCACAATGACACGCTGCACCTCGGGTGTGCTGTGTAGTTCTGCTGGGGTTTGGGGGGAATGCATTTTTCCATCTTCATGGGAAGTAATCTCTGTGACAACCTCAGCAGTCTGGGATGTGATGCTAACTGAGCTTGCCTCTTCATCAGCAAGGGAGATGGGTGGCATAACTTGTGGTTCGTCTGTGAGAGGTGTTGGTGCTGGTTCTGCAGGAGTTTCAGTACCATTATCTTGAGTCTCTCTTCCCACTGACTCTCCTATCCTAGCCAACTCCTCTCTCAAAATGTCTTCAAATGATTTGCTACTCCTCTGTGCTAGATCTTTCAGCTCAGTCAGGTAAGCTACTGTTGCAGAAGCACTAACTTCACTGCTATAAACACTCATTAGGCTTTGAACGTAGTGAACAACCTGCGGGTTTGCAGTACAAACTCTGTTGAGAGGTAGGTGTTGTTTCTCTAGCTCTTTGACTGTAGCTTCATGTTGGAACTCAACGATAACTTTCACTTCTTTACCCGCAGAAGGCACTTCAACTAACCTAGCTACGGACCCAAACTGTTTCAGGAAGTCAAAAACTTCATTGTCTATTTCACTGTGAGTTAGTCCACTAACTAAAACAGCATTTTGAACCTTAATGTTCTGTAATTTTACAACTTCCATTTTTCTTTTAGGTTAATGCACCAGGAATACCTTTCAAGTTGAAAATTAAAGCGAATTACTACAAAACTCAAAGTAATTGAATGTTAAAACAGCCTTCTGTTGCTCCAGCTACTCAAAGAATGTCCACATTAATTTCTTTACAAATTAACTCCTCCTGGCTGGCTCGCCACAATTACGTCTGTAACCCACATGTAGTTAACAGAATACTCAAATACATTTAGGACCAGTGTCTAGGTTCTTAGGAGGAGTTGAAAGAGTATGAAAGACACAATAAGCAACTGGAGCCACAGGGTACTTTAACATCAAATGTGAATGTATTGAAAGTTGTATAATGAAAAATAACAAAGGTCCTTTCTTAACCAGGACTCTGGAACAAAAATAGTTTCACAGTGTTGAAATTAACATAAACCACCTTAGAAATATAATACCCAACACAGTTCAACTCCACAAGGAAATGTCTTTGGTATGAATAGAGTTCAAGATTAATAAAGTCCAGGATTCCTTTGATCCACTCAAGTTCCAGTTTAGTTAGTTGTCGTCCGTTCAGCTAGCTTAAGTCAGAGGGTCAGTTTCAGTTCAAAACGTTTTAGTTCTGTCAGAAGTCATATGGTAAGGTGTGAAGTTGTCACAGTCCTACCACTCAAATGATGGAGAATGAAGGCCGGGATGGTCTTCTCCTCTGGGCAAAGATGGTTCCAACTCCTTGGGATAAGTAAGGGGATCTGGTTCAGTACTGGCTCGCCATCTCCTTCGTCAAGGAGAATCCAAAATCCAAATCTAAGGGTATCTCCAGGGAATCTCAAAAACCTAGCCTGTATGAGAATAAGGCTATTACTACATTGAGTCAATGACATCCCACTTCACCATGACAACGGTATATGAAATCAATCAAAATACTACTGCACACAATAGTAATTAAATTAATGAAATATTTTTAACTGTACAGCATTTCTCCTATGGAGTACTTTATCATCCTCACACCATTCATGAACTATTTGTAGCTTTTTTAACCATGAATTATGATTATTTAATGTTTTAACCATCAAGTTAACATAGGACTTCTTTTCCTTTTTTTTTTTTAAATGATAACATGCATATTTATGTATATAACAACTCTCTTTAAATTATGAAATAACCACATTAGGTATTTTACACACCTTATATTTTCTTATAAAAGGTTATAGCTTAAATGCACATATCCAGTTTTCCATATCCAACATTACCTATTATTATTAGCACTAGCAGTGAATAACTTAGCAGCCAGGCTTCCAGTGTAAACAGTTAAGTACAAAAGTAATCTTATACACCAAAGTAAAAGACTGCTATAACTCATAATTTTAATATTTCCTAACAGAGATATACTGCTTTAACTCTCAAAATCAATACATATACAATGTAAAGTTAACATATAAGCAATAAGAAAAGGAAAAACACGCTGCGGTGCCACGTGTTGGCCGACAGCACTGGCTACTATTGTTAGCCACATTAGCAAAACTCAAAACTTAACTCACCAAGACTCTGCCAAAAGCATTCAACTCCTGGCACACAGATCATATAATCACCTCTTCCACTTCTCCTATGTGTCATCTCAAGGTTGCTTTAATTTAATTTATCCACGCTCTTTTTTTTTCAGCTTAACTAGTTTATAACTACTTGTCTGCTTGTGTTGTCGCTTTGACTGCGCTGCCGAACTTCAACCTGGAGGGGTGGGACTTAATTCCCTTCTCCAATCAGATGTCTGTATTGACTAATACAGCCAGTAAGAATCAAGGCCAAGCAAACTTACTTTGATTGACACATTTTCTAGCGAACAGAAAGTAAGAATGAAAATAAAACCAAACTTATAGTGTTATAAGTTTTATCTATCTATTTATCTACTGGGTTACATATTATTTGCACAGAACATTAATTTGATAATTTATATGTGATTTTGTGTACCATGACATATATGCCACTGATTCACCACCAGCGTCGTTTCCAGCAGCAGCCAGCACCAAACAGCACACAAAGTTAGTGATATAGCCAGTAAACATAGTGGAGCATATAACATATGTATGTCATATAGTATATAGTAGAGTAGAGAAAATAGTGTCTAATAAATAGTATTTATATATACTGTATATGTATATTTATTTATTCATTTTTAGTATAGGGTGGAGTATCATCAGTTAGGTGGTGACCCACAATAGCATTTGTGCAATTAGTGAAAAGTCATTCAAGCCATCAATGGTGAGTCAGAAGGCTGTTAAAACTTTTGACTTAATGCCACGAACACTGAGGCTGACTCTCTCTCTCTTTCTCTCACTCGCTCTCTCTCTCTCCAACACACACACACACACACACACACACACACACACACACACACACACACACACACACAAACACTCCATAGTTATTGGTCCAAGTGGGAAAATAATGTTGGTAATTATCTCATCTGTAATGCCAATGTGGTGTTTATAAATTAGCGTATTATAATTTGAAAACAGAAAAACAATTTTCTCGCGCAGCCCTGGCCCCAAATTTCTTTATAGGCCCAACCAGAGCTTTCTATATGTGCCAGCTGCCGACCAAACAGTCAAGTACTCATTTAAGTCCAGCCGGCCACTTTATAATTAATTATATTAATTTTTTATTCTAATTAAATAGTATTGATGAAGTTGCAATTTGCTATGCCTGTACATTTTATGACTACTAGCCTCCGCTCCAAAACAATGCGAGCATGATGATAGAGAAATGTGCCTATCTGTCTGTATCAGTCCCACCCTCACATGCTCTGAGTGTGTGTGCGCACGCTCAGCTGAGAGGTTGTGCTAGAGAGCAGAGAGTCATCTTTTAGTTTAATAGATATTAGCAAAATAATTGACGACAAAACACATTAAGAATTGCAATGACTGCACAGACAGGGGTATCCTAATTAGATGGGTTACTTTAAGACAGTTGCACAGTAAGCATTCAAAAGTCCACTGAAAGCACTGCATTTTCCATATAGTAAAACAATACATTAACCATCATTGTGACAGCTTTTGTTTAACTTTGCACTGAAGGTGTCAATAAATAATAAAAGACTATGTGGACTAAAACGTACAAGAAGCCTAATTCCCCTATGCAATAATTCACTACTTGTTAACAGTCAGGTAGGCAAACTCATTACAAAATGCAATATTTAAGATCATTGTAAATGATGGAATAGTGGCCTTAGAATCTGCCAGAGGCCACCAAATTTGAGTTGTTACAGCCAAAGGTTTTCTCGGTGGAGCATGCAGCTGCAGTGGCTGGCAGCTCTATACCCTTATGGAAAGTCTTGCTACCTCTGATCGTTTCAGACTTCTTTTGGTTCATGGAAATTGTTTTGCCAAAGACTTGATAATGCGAATACATCATGTTCCGAAAAGGGTTCATCTCTCCACTGGTATGTCTTAGATGGCCTTCACTGTATTTCACTGCCATTCATTCATTCATTCATACCTTTAAAAGTAATACAATTATACAAAATTATTCAGAATGTGTGAAATTAACATACCAGTAAATATTATAAAGAAAAATACCATGCCATTTGCAGGCCATTAGTTTGCTATGGCTGTGATTGATTAACTAATAATTTTCACCATCACTTGTTGACTTTGAAGGCCTCTACACTGGCAGTAAGTGCACCTAAGGGGGCTGTTCTGTGTTCCAAAAATATATATTTTGCTTTCAAAGACTTGACTTACAGCAGAGCATAACTCATCTTTATCACTGCTTCTGATGTATGTTTGCCCACCGCTAACAAACAGTCCTCTCTCATCGCCCACGGAATCATACTTGTCTCAGTGCTCACATCACGGTGTGTGTCTGAAATCACAGTCGTTAAGTTAAGCATGATCAGTAACTCAATATTCTTAGGTACCGTATAACTAGTATGACCCAGCAGTTATCGTATGCATTACTGATACATTGGCGTGATTGATATTATCAGAAATTTTAGCCTATATCACAGATATATTTTATCGACAATATAATGACCCATCGGTACCAAACAACTGCCCTACAATAATGCCAGAAGAACAGCGTTTATATTATTATATTTTATTATTTGTCTGCTAGAGTGACACATTTTAAAGTTTATTTTCAACTTTTCCCACTTAGTAATATCTTGGTCAACATTATTTAAAAACAAAATTGAATGGATCCTTATCATTGGTTAATCTTGGGTGTTTAGATTAGTAACCGAATATCAGTTAACATATGGTTGTCTGATGTCTTTCTATTCTTGTTATTATCAATACCGGTATTTGGCTTTAATATGAGAGAGCAATATAGTACAGTGATGGATTACAAACAGATTACAAAACAATATTAAGTGAGTTATCAACTTGCTTTATTACCCAATGCCACTGATATGGTTATTGCTATCAGAATGACATTTCATAATAATGACATTAACAAACACATAGCACTTTTCTTAAAGCAACACTATGTAAGATTTGGTATTTTTTTAGATCTGGCACTGCACTATCACTGTCTTAAATATGGACAGCTGTGCATGTGCATTTGTTATAACACTGCTCTTCTCCTCGCCAGCATTGCCCATCGGCTTCCCCTTACCCCGAGCCTGAAAACCACCTCCTTCCAGTGGTCCAAAGCTCCTTTGATAGTGGTGTAAATATATCAACACTATCCCTTTGAGCCTCCAGTCTGGGCAGCACGGACTGACCTAACTACCTCAGTGGTTAACTTACTTTGACAACTAAGCTTTCTGTCAATCAGGAAAGTCTGTAAATCATAGAGAGCTGAGTCGTTGCAGCCGGAAGATATCAGAGGGAAAAGCAGAAAACACAGTCTCCATAAAATATGTTCCAGTTATACGTAAATCAGTGACATAATAGGTCGTGTGCGACTACTGCTGTAAAGCGTAATGCACTTGTCCTGACCCGAAACCAAAAGGTACATAACGTTAAAACAGGCGAGCAGGGCATAGAGTGGGAATGAAAAAGGTTCATTCACCTTATAACAAGTCAATGTGGCATCAAAAGGATTTTGAAGCTGTTTTATTTTAAGGTAGAAAAGTTACATAATGGGGCTTTAACAAATCTAACAAGTGCTTTACACGAAATAAAGACACACACTGCAAGTGAGAAAAAACAGAGAGAAAGAAAAAGATGATTCAATCTTAAAACGCATGAAATGTTTGAGATAATAAGGGCTTTAGGTCAGTATCACTGTTTTTTATCTATATGGAAGCAGTAGCAGTAATTTGCTGATATCAGATTCCAGTAATGGTCTTTTGACTGTAACATGAAAAACACTACAACATATTGGCACCATTGTACACTGATATTCACATAAAATCAAATCAATCTTTATTTATTTTTATATGAGCTTGTCATGGTGCTGGCTGTGACATTCTGGTTATTTGGAACTCCAGAAGACAGAACATAGACACACAAACTACCATTCTGCAGACATTATTGTGTGCTGTTTGTGGAAATCCTTGCATTTTAGTTTGTTATTGCACATCAAGACTTTCTAAAACAAGAAATAACAGTTTTTCACTTTCAAATGAAAAGCTGAATTCATACATTTGACATTGGTCAATTTGATACACTTAGGGGTTTTGTCTATAGCCTTAGCGGGTGTTCCGCCTGGGTTGGTTGCGGGGGTTCGTGTTGCTTCAGGTACAGTGTTTAGACATGACATACAATCCAGGGAGGCTTATCAGCCGGCAAAATCCCGCACATCGGTTTATAATACTCTGAGACAGGATTTTACAGCTTTGAAAATGTCTGCAACAATTTAATCTGTCATTCCAATTGTGAGGTATACAGTGGAAATATGTGTTCATGTTGTAAAGTAATGAATCAGAAATGTGGTCTTACTTGTGTACTTAATTGGCCACCGCACTGCCTTTTTCTTTTGTGTTTCTCTGCCGGAGCTCAGTGCAATGGCACCCCTGCTGCATCGCTGGACTAGTCGCGTTCAAATGAATGAGGGGGCTGTGTTTTTTCATGCAAGGCTACAACCATTATTATATCACTACTGTACACCATTTACCACAGTATTATATTTTTCTCATTTTATGTTTCTATTTTCTTATTCTATTTTATTCTAATATTTTACATTCCGAATTCCGAACAATTTTGTCTTCTCATTTCTCATTTACTTTCATTTTTAATATTGCATTAGTATTGTTGAAGGGTGCATGTCATCAAAAATTGTAATTGCCAATGATTGCTTCAATGTGATTGTTGTGCATATAACAGAAAAAAGAACTTTAACTTGAATGTGTGTCCACTTTATTTGTGCTAACGTTGGCTAATGGTAGTTAACGTTAGCTTGATAACGATTGCTGTGCATTTTGCTGACCTTATGATTATTCCCACTTCGTTTTCTTGCTCAGTTTCGCTCAATTCCTGAATGCCATATGGGATCATGATTAAGGCATTTGATTACATGAACACTCAACAATTGAACCAAACCTAATATTACTGTTTGAAATAACTTCAGACTACACCAAATACATAAAAAAGATAATTAATTAGTTTCTGACTCTAGGAAAGTGGTAAACAGTAACACTTTCCAAAACTACTGATTCTCTTTAACCAAATCAAACACATTTAGGATAATCTGTGTCAGTCAATTGCCAGAATACAATTGCCAACCATTTGTATTAACGCAAGAGGATTAAGGATTATTCGATGAATCCTTTAAATCATTTTTTTAAAGGAAAAATACCAAATGTTCCAACATCCTCAGTGTCTCAGATTTTCTGCTTTTCTTAGATTTTTTTTATAATTGTAAATTGATTATCTTTTGATTTTGGACTGTTGGTCTGACAAAACAAGGCAATTGAAGATGTTACCTCTACTAGGGAAAATGTGATGGACATTTTTCATTATTTTCTGA